CTTTCATATTATCCGTTGTATACTTGTCAGTATCACAAAAATTGTGATAGCAACCATTACAAGGAAGTGTTCAAAAACTATTGGGTTACCATAGCAACGTGATTTTAGACGCTTGAATTTTTATTTTTTTTTTTTTTTTAATGAAGATAAGTGAAATAACAAATATAATATGTGTTGTTTATTTAACTGAAGAAATTAAATCATGCAGTGAGGCCACAGATTCTGGATAATGATAACGTCAATAGCTAAAAAGGCTATCGTGATTTTTCCTGACTTTTTGGTTGCTATAGTAACACATTATTTTTGTTTAATTTATGAACTTGCATTCATATTGTAATATTTTAAAATTATGAGGTTTAGTAGTGTGATTTGTTTTACTTTTGATTTTTTTAAAAGCTATAATGTACAAATGGGAGCCAAATGTTGAATCTACAAATTAATCCAAAATCTCTATAGCAACCATTTTCGTTTTCGTTTTATTTTATTTTAAGAAATAAAACCTCTCTAGAAATTTTATATTTTGTTAAGTAAGGAATGACCTTTTCAGTGATGGTAGTTGTTTGTTATGGATTGCCCTTGTTTTCTTGCTACTATGCTTAGAAAATGACAAAATTGGCATTTTTTCAAAATTGTTAAAATTTGAGAAATTCACACTTTTCACTGAAAGACAACTCTTTTATGACCAACTACTGAATAATTTCATCAGTTGTGGTAGTTACTCCAACAAATAGTCTATCAGAGTAGGCAACAATTAAATCTGTAAATAATATACAGAAAATAGAAATTTATGATGAAGATGGTATACTTTCAGTAGGTTGCTCTGTATTTTTGGCCTCAAAATGGTGGTTTTGGTTACCATGGCAACCGGGACTCAAATTAAAAAATTAACCCCAAAAATGTTCCATACATGGTGTTTCTACATTGCATGCAAAAAATCAGCAAAATCTGTGATGTACCATTTCCAACTTTTTTCTGAATTCTTTGATTCTTACAGAGAATGACTCTTAATAAGCTTAGAATCATCAAACTTAGTGAGTTGATGCTTCTTGGGTTTTCGGAGAGTGACGACCAAAAAGTAGGTCACGGTGACCTACTTTTGACATTTTATGGCTTTATTTAAGGATCTCTGGTACTTATTGGCTTAGAATCATCAAACTTTGTCAGTTGATGTATTTTGGGCTTTCGAAAATCGCCTACTAAAAATTAGGTCACAGTGACCTACTTTTCACATTTTATGGCTATAATTAAGTATCTCCAGTACTTTTTGGCTTGGAATAATCAAACTTTGTCAGTTGATGCATTTTGGTTTTTCCAAGAATGTAAACGAAAAAGTAGGTCAAGGTGACTTACTTTTGAATATCTCACATACTTATTGGCTTAGAATCTTCAATCTTTGTCTATTAATGCATCTTGAGTCCTCAGAAAACTTCAATCTTAAAGTAAGTCATTGTGACCTACTTATGGTTTTTTTTTAATAGCTTTATTAAAATATCTTCAGTTATAATTGGCTAAGAATCATCAAACTTTGTCAGTTGATGCAACTTGGCTCTTAGAATACTTAGGGTTAGAGGCTTCAAATAGAAATGATAGGTTGTACAATTTATCAGAAGAGTGATTCAAGGCCCCTGGGCCTCTTGTTTGTATATATTTATATTTACAATGTATCCTGAGTATCACAAGCTACCTAACGATACGATACATATGCATTTTATTTCGGGTGTTAATAATTGTCCCCCAGTGAACCCCCCTTCATGTCTCAGCCCTGGACCTACTGGGGGCAGGCGCTAAGACTAAGCTTAGTCAAGCTAAGACCCTGCATTTACCCACAGTAATCGCTAACACTATATTTTTGAGCTCACCTTGTCATTCATTTTGTAAATGCTGTGTGAAATTGGGTCCTGAATCAAGTTAAGATCGTTGGTTTCTGATTGCACATGGTGAAAATGAAGGTGTTTGCCAAGGAAACTGGAAGTGCACGGCACCTCGATTTACCCAAATGGACTAAAATGGAACCCAAATGGAAACACAATGGAATATTAAAAATATATTGTTCATTATTAAAAATAATAAATTGAATTTATTAATTATTTATTTCCAGCATTGTATTTTGATATACGAATTATTTTTGTAGTTTTCTGTATATCGGCAAAATTATTGGGATAGATGGGGGCATGTCTCTCCAGTCCTACCCTCTGTCCACCAACCTAAACCCCCACCCACCCCGCTCGGTTCCGACAGCCATGGAAACTGTTTACATGTACCGTTACTTCAATTTTGTAATCAGTGATGTGCAAAATTTATGACAAACAGAAAAAAAATATATTTTTAAAATCACTTAAAATTTAAGAAATTAATAATATTAAAAATTCTTTTAGTTGAATTTCTTCAATATTTTAGATAAGTTACAACTTGAAAATACCATAATAGATATATTGAATATTCCATTTGGGTCCATTTGATTTCCATTTGGGTCCATTAATCTGTTCCATTTGGGTCCATTTGTTATGCTCTCCAAACGGAATTTGGGAACATATTGTTTTTACTCGGTTTCTTATTATTATTATGTCGCCCCGAACGAAGTCGGGTGACATATTGCGATTGTACGCATGTTTTTGTTCTACGGGGGCTGTTTCTCAGAGATGGCAGGGACAATCTTCCTGAAACTTTCCTCAAAGGAGGATCACTGGTTTTAGTTGTGTTGTGTGGTCATTCAGTTTCAAAATTGGTACCGTTGCCATGAAAACTTGCAAAAAATGATGAATTTTGTCCGTAAGTGTTCTCTCTGGTCCCTTGAACATTCTTCATGAAATTTTATTTATGTAATGATTAGTATCTTTAATTGTGTGTGTTACATTTAAAAATGCACGTTCGCTCACGTGCAATGCGAAAATTTGCAATATACTTGGTATACTTTAGTAGGAAAAACGTTGTTAAAGTCTAAGATGCATAGAGTTTGCCTTATTTAATGAAGCTAAGAGGAAATGTGGCACAAAAGAAGTTGAGAGCATTTGGGGAACATCTGTAATGGTTCCCGTTACAATCAGCCCTAGTTTCCATTTGGGTAAATCGACGCACCAATACATTGCATACATTTATATTTTTGATCAGATTTTAAAGAATCTTTTCACTGAAAACTCCTAGAATTATTGTTTTTAGATTATTTTAATACGAATGACCATTTAAAACGGCTTAAGAATTATTTTCCATTTAGTTTTTGTTTTACGACTTATGCGCAGAAGGCACAAATTTTTTAACCAGCGACCTACCTTAATGACAACATCCGTTAAGGTAGGGGGTTCAGGTATACATTTTCGATGAGATATATTCAAATAAATATATTCTAGCACAAACATGGACACAATAAGAAATATAAAAAACTTTTCTTGGTGAAAAAATTTCGAGTAGAACTGAAGTTATGAAATTATCAATCTTGTTAGTTCTGCTCTTTTATGTAAGAAAATTTAACTATATAAGAGTACTAAATGATGGCACATTAAGGGGAGAAAAATCCATTAAATCTAGGTAATTTTTAGCTCACCTGAGCCAAAGGGGTAGGGTGGGGCCACAATAGCCGATCAAAGTTTTATGTAGGAATATATAGGAAAAATCTTTTAAAACCCTCTTCTCAAGAACCACTGGGCCAGGAAAGATGAAACTCATGCAGAATCATTCTCAGGTAGTGTAGATTCAAATTTGTTCAAATCATGACCCCGGCGGGGTAGGGTGGGGCCAAAATGGCTGATCAAAGTTTCACTTAGGAGTAGATAGGAAAAATCATTAAAAATCTTCTTCTCAAGAACCACTGGGCCAGGAAAGATGAAGTTCATGTGGAATCATCCTCAGGTAGTGTAGATTCAAGTTTGTTCAAATCATGACCCCCGGGGAGCAGGTGGGGACACAATGGCCAATCAAAGTTTTACATAGGAGTATATAGGGAAAATTTGTAAAAATCTTCTTCACAAGAACCACTCGGCCAAGAAAAATGAATCTCATGTGGAAGCATCCTCAGATAGTGTAGATTCAATTTTGTTCAAATCATGACCCCCAGGGGTAGGGCGGGGCCACAATGGCCAATCAAAGTTTTACATAGGATTATATGATATCTAGGGAAAATATCTAAAAATTGTCTTCTCAAGTACTAAAGCAGTGATTAGTGATGTTTATGTGGAATCATTCTCAGGTAGTGTATATTCTAGTTTCTTCAAATTATAACCCCCAGAGATAGGGTGGGGTCACAATGGGGAATCCAAGTTTTACATTAAAATATATTTAAGAAAATCTTCTTCTCAAGAATCACTGGGCCAGGAAAGATGAAACTCAAGTGGAAGCATCCTCAGGTAGTGTAGATTCAAGTTTTTTCAAATCATGACCCCCGGGGGTAGGGTGGGGCCACAATGGTCAATCCAACCAAGTTTTACATAGGAGTATATAGGGAAAATCTTTAAAAAATCTTCTCAAGAACCACTGGGCCAGGAAACATTAAATTCATGTGGAAGCAACCTCAGGTAGTGTAGATTCAAGTTTGTTCAAATAATGACCCCCGAGGGTAGGATGGGGCCACAATGGCCAATCAAAGTTATACCTAGGAATATATATGGAAAATCTTTAAAAATCGTCTTCTCAAGTACTTCAAAGCAATGATTAGTGATATTTATATGGAATCATTATCAGGTAGTGTATATTTTAGTTTGTTCAAATTATAACCCCCAGGGATAGGGTAGGGTCACAATGGGGGATCCAAGTTTTACATTAAAATATATTTTTAAAAATCGTCTTCTCAAGAATAGCAAAGCTATGATTAGTGATACATGTACTAGTATTTATATGGAAGCATTTTCGGGTAGTGTAGAATTAAGTTTGTTCAAATCCTGATTTAAATTTATTCAAATCATTGCCCTGTGGGGTAGGGAGGGAAACAATGGGGTATCAAATTCAAATTTTTATGAAGTTATATATAGGAAGAAAATGTCAAGATAAATTATTTTATTGCATTTTTATAGATTTGAACAAAAGAAGAAGTCTGATGAACTCAGAGAGTGGTGCAAATATTAATGACACAACTTTTGCTACTGATTTCCCTGATAATGGGTCCAATACCAGTCCGAGAGGGAACCCCACGTCTACTGCTGCCCAACGATTTCCTGACTCTGGCAAAAGTTCAATAATGGATAATTTGCAGATGTCATCCTCCATGGGAAAGAGTGGTTTCAGTAATCCAAGTTCTCTCATGAATAGTTATACATCACCTCGAAAGCATGGAGGAACTTTTTCCACCAAAAGTCAATTTCTCAGTCAGAGTGCAAGATTAAGTCACTCTTACAATTCAGATCATAATGCTCAGTTGATGAGAGGATCTGGACTTAGCCAGAGTGGAAGTTTCAACTATGCACCTGTAAACAGGTTGTTTCATGGAGATAGGTATATCAAAACACCCCCTGGATTTCCGCCAAAGAAAGTTGGTCTTAATCACAGTGCTAGTGGCAATCTCTTTGCCTCCTCTGAATTATATTCTCAGCATATTGACTCAACTACAGCTGCAGATACCAGTCCTAAAAAACCACTGTCTGATGTTGCAAGCTTAAGTGGAAGATGGTAAACCGAGTTAATACACAGCCAACTGAAGCTTTTTTTTTATACCAATGGCTGCTACTTTTTAAAAATTGTGCATATAAAAGTATTTAATCATATTTTAATTGTTAGACAAATTTATCATGCATGTTTTATGCTTTTTGACCACCATGGACTCTGTAAGACCTCTAAAAAATGGTACAGGTTAAAATGTACTGTAAATGTATTATATTTGGCTGTGTATTCTTTTTAGCGATTTGGCGAAAAGGAACTTCCGCTAATTCAAGTGCAATGCTAAATGTCTTGCACATATATACATAAATAAGAACATTGAGAAATGTGCTAAATCAAATCTTCGCTAACTTGTTCAAAAATCAATTTCTGCCAAATATCGTACATGCTAAATATAATACATTGACAGTATATGTTTTTCAGTGGGCATGGTAGATATGTTATAGACACCCTAAATTAGGTACTTTGGGTATGATTCATATGTAGAAAAAGGCTTATGCAATTGATCATGATCTTAATTGCATTTATCTTGTTTTCCTCTTCAGCTTAGCTGGCTGAAAGTACCAGTGAGCTTTTCGGAATACCCATTTTCCGTCGTCTCTCTGTTCATCTTGTAAACTTTTTGAATGAACTGAAGTAATTCTTCCTGAGAAAAATTATTTTCATAAATTTGAGTCTGTATATTAACAAGATATAATTGAATATTTGAATTCTGTTCAAAAATTGGTTTGTTCTGCACTTTCAGCTATATAAAACCAGGCTTTTTAAAGGGTTATTTGAAAAGTTTACGGATCATGTCATTCTTCATTATTCTATTTTCAAGAAACTTAAATGTAAAGTTATCTCTAAGTTGTTGATGTGTGAAATATCATCGATGTGATTAAACAGAAATTCTGTCATTCAATTTTAAAATCAACATGCAACCATGACAGAGGTAACTTAACTATAAATGACCTAATGAAAAAAATACTGATATACAGATTTTTATATGCCCATCTTAAGTTGCGACGTATTATGTTATTGCCTTCATGTCTGTCTGTCGATCTGTTCGCTTTTCTTGGGTCTGGCTCATAACTTTAATACTACTAAATGAAATCCTGCCTGAGAAATAATTTTTTTAGCTCACCTTGTCAAAGGCATGATGAGCTTATGCTATACCTCCGGCGTCGGTGTTAGTGTCGGTGTACAGGTTCAAGTTTTGGAGCAGGTCCATTTCCAAGTAACTTTAAGCCCTAACTGGACCAAACTTGCATGGATGATGCGTCTAGGGATTGACACTACCAGACTTGCTTCAGATGCTGGATCTGAATTACATTTTTCCAGATGAGTTGCCAGGTTAAAGTTTTTGGAGCAGGTCCATTCCCAAGTAACTTTAAGCCTTACCTGGACCTGGGTGATGCATTTAGGGAAGGACACTGACTTGTTTTGGATGCTGGATCTGACCTGCATTGTTTAGAGCAGGTCCATCTCCAAGTAACTGTAAGCCCTACTTAGACCAAACTTGCATGGATGATGCATCTCTGGAAGAGCACTACCTGACTTACTTTGAATGCTTGATCTGACATACATTTTTGAAATCAGTGACTGTGGCAATATTTTTGGAGTAGCTCTATGATTATATGGCCTGTTATGATTTAAACTGCATGAATAATGCATCTAAGGATGGACTATTCCAGACTTGCCTCAAATGTAGGAAATGAATGACATTTTTAGGTCACCTGAGTAAACTCAAGTGATCTATTGCTATCTGTTTTCGTCCGTCGTCGTTCATCGTGCGTTAACATTTGAACATTTCAGCTTCTTCTCTGAAACCACTCAACCAATTTTGGCATATAGCATGTATGGGTGAAGGGGAACAAAAATTGTGAATTTCATGGTCCCTGCCCCCTGGGGCCTGGGGGGTGGGGCCAAAACCACTAAAATTAGTGCAATCTTTAAAAATCTTCTTCTTTACTCCTAGACATCAAGCAGTCAAACTGTTGGCATGATTGTTATAAGCATTGAGTCGTCTACCACAATTATGAAATTCATGGCCCCAGGGTCAGGGGTTCTGGTGTTAGGGCGGGGCTATATTGATTATATATTGAAAATGCATTATTTCTTTGAAAATCTTCTTCTCTGCTCCTGAGTATCAAATAAACTATTGAAGTACATAGTTATAATGAGCAAGAGTGCCTTTACCAAAATTATGAATTTTAGGGCCCCAGGGTCAGGGGTTCTGGTGTTGGGGTGGGGCTCCATTGATTATATAGTGAAAATGCATTAAATCTTTGAAAATCTTCTTCTCTGCTCCTGTGTATCAAATAAACTAACAAAGTACATAGTTATGATGAGCAAGAGTGCCTCTTTTAAAATTGTGAATTTTAGGGCCCCAGGGTCAGGGGTTCTAGTGTTAGGGCGGGGCTCCATTGATTACATAGTGAAAATGCTTTAATTCGTTGACAATCTTCTTCTCTGCTTATGGGTATCATTTGAAATAACTAAGTACATAGTTATGATAAGTAAGATGGCGTCTTATAAAATTGTGAATTTTATGGCCCCAGGGTCAGGGGTTTTGGTGTTAGGGTAGGGCTCTATTTATTATATAGTGAAAAATGCATTAATTCTTTGAAAATCTTTTTCTGTGCTCCTAGGTATTAAGTAAACTAAGAACATAGCTATGATGAGCAAGAATACTTCTACCAAAATTGTGAATTTCATGACCCCAGGGTCAGGGGTTCTGGTGTTAGGGTGGTGCTCTAAAATGATTAGGTATATAGTGGAAATACATTAATTCTTTGAAAATCTTCTTCTCTGCCCCTGGGTAATAAGCAAATGAACTACCTATATAGTTATGATGTGCAAGGCTCTTCTTCTAGAATTGTGAATTTCCAGGCCCCTGGGTCAGGGATACCATAGAGGGGTGGGGGTGGCGGTGGGGCTTGACTTACATACTGAAAATAAATTGTTTGGAATCTGCTCCTTGGTATTAATCAAACATTTTTGATAAGCAAGGGTGCCTTTTCAAAAATTATGCAATGTGTGGACCTAGGGTCAGGGGTTCATGTGTGGTAGGGGCACTTCTGATTATTGCCGAATATTACTGATTAGTTGATATGCATTTTTTGTTCCCCTACCCCGCCTATGGGCAGGGTTCGACACTAACTTTTTTAGGCTTTGGTCCGGCCGACTAGTGTTTCTTTACTTTTACTAGTCCGCGGGAAATTTTATGAGTCCGTTAATATAAATAAATAAGTAGAATTAACATTGCAATCTACTTTGAAAATCTCACCATCAGGATTCAAACTACAATCGTATAATATTCCCGATCGCATTCGTTTTTCTCTATACATGATTATATCATGCAAACATCCGACATCTTTCTTTATGCGTCGTACTAAATCATGATCGCTATTAAAATGTTTAATTTCATATCATCGAGTCCTAAAATTAAGCTCCAAATTGACTCAGAATTATGTAACTTCCCGCCAAGAAGCTAGAAAGCTAAAAATAAACACAGGTTTTTCCAGTGAAAGTTGTTGAGAATTGAACATCGGTAAATTCCTTTTTTCCCCAGAAAAGTTCATTAGTCCGTTCGGACTAATTAGCCACAAATTTTATTAGTCCAAAAGAAAATGTATTAGTCTGAGACTAACGGACTAACGTTAATGTCGAACCCTGCTATTGGTATTAAGTAACCAAACTAAGCAACTGGGTATTAAGGAGGCTTGGGAGTCAACAAATTAAAAACAAATTAACCACCAGATATAGCTTAAATTTTTAGATATGATATCTTTAGCTGTTAACTATCATTTGACAAAAAAATTTCATACATATCAGTTTTAAAATTTGATTTTTTTGGTATATCTTTATATGGAGATCTTCTTCTAAAGGAGATCGAAATAGTCTAAAAATGGCAATGAACACCCAGCCCCTTAAGTAACCAAACTAAGCAATTACTAAGTTTATAATTATGATTAGCAATGGTGCCAGCCTCTTTCAAAATTAAGAATGCCATAGCATCTACCTTAAAACATGAACCAAATTCAATCATTTGAAAGTTGTTGCATGATTCTCAGGTGACCTATAAGGCCCATGGGCCTCTTGTCTTGATTAGTAAACAGGTTAAAGTTTTTGGAACAGGTCAATTCCCAATGAACTATAAGACCTTAACCTAAACAGAACTTTCATGAATATTGTCAGGATGCACACTCACGTAAAAAAATATGATTTGAGATTTGCATTATTTATTTAAAGCTGATAACATTCATCGAAGTGAGCTTCGTAATCTTTGACAACCTTTGTTTGTTTTTTTTCCTGGTAACAAAACTATTCCAAAAAGTATCTTAAATTTTCTGCGGACAGTTAAATATATAGGCTTACAGCATGACACAATACCTACTTCAAAATTTTGCATTTAATTAGGAACAGAAATATATAGATAATTTAACAATATATGTACAACCTCTATTATTATCTCCTCCAAAGGAGAGGGGTATAACCTCTATTATTATCTCCTCCGAAGGAGAGGGAGGTATACTGTTTTACCCTTGTGTGTCTGTCTGTCCATAACACTTTTTTTGGTGGCAGTTTTCTCAGCAACTACTCAGTGCAGATGCTTGAAAATTTAAGACAATCTTCTCTGAGGCATGTCATATGGTGGGATTCATTTTTGTTTAAATCTGATGTCAACTTCCTGTTTATCTGTGTATCTGTCCATTTTAAACATAACAAATTTTGGTCGCAGTTTTTTTCAGCAAGTACTCATCGCAGATGATTGAAATTTTAACACAAGCAAATTCAAAAAATTGTTGTTCCCCGTTGGTGTCTTTGTGGGAGGTCAGAAGGTCAAAGTTGTTGGTATTCAATGAAAAGTCTTGCCACAAAGAATACATATGTGAAATATGAACGTCTTTAGTGTCTACCATTCAAAAGTTATTGCCAAAGTAAAAGTCCAAAATTTTTGTGTAAAAGTGGGTCAAACTCCAAGGTTAAGGTCAAAAGGTCAAATATGGTAGTACTCTACCCAAAGAAAGGTCTTGTCACAAGGAATACACATGTGAAACATGAAAGTCATAGTTCCACTAAATCAAAAGTTATGGGCAAGGTTAAAGTTTCTGTGGTGGATGGACAGACGAATGAGATTTAATGTCCCCTCACTTTAGCGAAAGCGAGGGGACAATATTTTTGTTCAAATCAAATGTCAACTTCCCATTTATCCATGCGTCTATCCATGTCATGCTGCTGTATGGCTGTGAAGAATGGACTGTCTACTAGAGGCACGCCAAAAAGCTGAACCACTTCCACATAACGAGCCTCAGAAAGCTTCTCGGTATTAAGTGGCAAGAAAAGATTCCAGACACAGAAGTCCTCACCTGAGCTGGCTTTCCCAGCATCTACACCATTCTCATGCAATCACAACTCCGCTGGGCGGGACACATGGTCCGTATGCCAGACCATCGACTCCCCAAGAAACTACTCTTTGGTGAACTACTGGAAGGAAAGTGTGCCCATGGTGCCCCAAAAAAGCGATTCAAGGACAGCCCAAAAGCCTCCCTCAAAGCATTCAATATCAACCCTGATTCATGGGAAGTTGCTGCACAAGACAGGTGTGGGTGGAGAGACGCAGTCCACGAGGGCGCCAAGAGCTGTGAAGCAAATAGGAGTCTGCAGCAGAACAACGCAGGCAGGCCAGGGAAGATAGCCCCAAGGACCCGAGAGCTGCCACCATCCCTTGTCCTCACTGTCCGTGACTATTCCATGCGAGGATCGGTCTGACCAGTCACCTCTGCACCCACCGTCCAGATCAACCCCCTCCCCCACGAAGATGAGACAGTGGTCATTGTCACCACCGACAGACGAACAACATCCGTGTCATGCATAACAACTTTTCACCGCAGTTTTCTCAGCAACTTCTCATTACAGATGCTTGAAATCTTTGCGCATACTTTGTAGAGGCATGGGATTTATTTTTATTTGAATCTGATGTCTACTTCTTATTTATCCATGCATCTGCCTGTCACTGAACATTTTGTATAGTTCAGTTCAGTTATGGGGTTCCCTCCTATGTATAAGGAGCACCCGAGAAGGTGGTTACATTAAAAGCATAAAAATTAAAAATAAAAGAAATAAAGTGATGAAAAGACAGTTAGTAAAATCTATTCCATATAGTGCTGTAAAAATAAAGTTAGAGGTGATAGACCAACTAAAAATAAAACAAGAATTTACACACTATACAATAGCTTAGCTTCTAATGTAAAATTGTTTCGGCCCTAAAAGTGCTTAAAAAATTTAAAAGAAGCTTAACACCTGTATCGTGACTGTTTCTGTTTTAAAAGTTATTTCAGCTCTAAAAATAATTACCGGTACATACTGCTCCTTAACAAGAAAAGGAAAAAATATTAAGGTCTGTTGGTTGTAGACTGTGTACTAATTTTTTTAATAGTTTGGGCTCTATGGCAGTGTAGAGC